GCGGGCGCGGGGCGGGGCGCGGCGGCCCCGGCGCATGCGCACTGCGCCGGGTGGGCCGTGCGACGGGCTCCTGCGCGCCTGCGCGAAGTCTCCGGGGCGGAGCCGCCCTCTGGAGGCCCCGCCGGGCTCTTCCGCCCCAGCGTTTGGTTGCCTAGCAATGTTTTCTCTTGAATCATAGCGCAATAAATACAAGCTGGCATTTTCTCACCTAATCATGAAAACCTGGTAAACCCAAAACGCCTTAGAACATGACTGTTGGTACGTGTATAATCAACAGTAATGTGAATAATCAATCGCTTCTCTTCGTTCTGATGAAGGGATAACGAATGTGAGACAAATCCAAGTGATTGCTCCCCAGACAAACGCCAGAAGAGGCGAAGCAAAGCAGAGAAGAAAGGTCTTCGCATAAATGATGGTCAAGCAAGTAGAGATCTGAACTGGGACGAGGGGCGTTGGAATGGCGCCATAATGGAGAAAAGATGGAAGCGGTCAAACATTTCCTCTTGCTTGGAAACGCCATCAACGCCCACGGAAGTAGCAGCCTAGAAGTCAAACTCTGCATTGCTCTGGGCAAATCTGCACAGGTTGTACAAATGTGCTTGACCCAGTGGATGGATGGATGTTCTATGAGCCCGCAATTAAATTATAAAAAATAATAAAAAAGTAAAGGTGTCACTTGAAGACTAAGGTGTGCCTGATCTTAGCCGCGGTCTTTTAATCGCTTCCGAAACATGCCAAACTTGGACAATGATTAACGAAAGCTCGAAAAGAATTGATGCATGCGAATATATTGCGGACTTTCAGAAAAAGAGCAAATGGGTTTTGCAGGAAGTACAACCAGAATGCTCCTTTGAGGCGAGGATGCTGAGACCTCTCAAACTACTTTAGACACATTACCAGAAACTACTGCTCCCAAACTCATAGAGTAAAATAATTCAGTGGACATCCTCATAATAAAGATATCAATTTATCAATAAATGTAGACGGCACTCAAGTACATTACAGTCAAGAAAACGCACTAAAGCCACAATAATTCATTTTAAACATAGTATGCTCATCAAACTGGTAACGTAAAACCAATGACAATACCATCATTGATAGTAAGGTAAGACCAGTGGGAACTCTCACACTGTATTGGGTCTATTTGGTTAATACCTTTCATTAGGCTCTCTTTATATACTTAGGACACTAGTTTTAGCCAATCATGTGAATAGCAATTTAGGTTTATTTAGAAAAGTTAAAGATATTCGCATTTTAAATCCATCTACCAATCTATCTGTATTTAGCTGTGGTGATAAAAGGGGGTGTGTGCATTTGACTGCTCCCTGATTTGCAGGGGTTTGGCAGTTATGCTGTAAGCCACCCGTCTGAAGAGAGCTGAGAAATGTAACCCCTCCAGGAGGAGATCGGCTATATGCAGCCACTGGGCTGAAAGGGAGTTTCCTGGGGGCTTGGCCTGCTTCCACTGGTATGTGGAAACTCTGGAAAATCTCTCTTGCTTTTTTCTGGATCTGGATTCTGAATCTGGCTTCTGGACCTTTGGACTTGAGCCAGCAGCCTGCCATCTTGTATTTGTCAGCAGAAATGTATTTCATACTTCATCCGATTCTTCTAGCCATCTCTCTGGCTGCCATTGAAGCAATTCCAATTCTTATTG